AATATATCGTATAATATATCGTTAATATACCGTTGAAATGTCGCGGGCGCACCACTTAATCCGAAGGGTGTCACTAGTTGTTCGTAGAGGCCAAAACGTGTTATGAAGGCTGTCAGCCATTCGTGGCCTTCTGCTATTCTGATTCTATTGAATGCTGAAACAACGTCAACTTTTGTAAATATTTTTGCTCCACAAATAAGGTCCAGAGTTTCCTTGATGAGTGGAAGGGGATATCGGTTTTTCATTGTGATATTATTTATGCCACGAAAGTCATGACAAATACGAATGCCTCCTCCTAGTTTTTTGGCTAGAAGAATTGGGCTTGCAATAGGCGACGTTGATGGTCTTATCCATCCTTTACCTAATTGATCGTCCAACCAGCGTTTGATGACATGCAGCTCTGATGGAGAACAAGGACGTGCTCTAGATCTAGGAAATTTATGGTTTCCAGGTAAGAGCTCTATCTTATGATCATAAGAATGATGGGGAGGAAGATTGGTGGCCTCCTGGGGAAACGCTACATCTGCTTTATCGTGATAAACTTTAGGGATTTTCATCTTTATTTCCTCCATAGAGGGAGGACGACAATTAGCCTTCTTAAAAAACTTAACTACATCTTCATCAGAGACTCTGCGTAGCTTTGTATTGTTTGTATCAAATATTAAATCTATAAATTCATGAAAATAATTGGGGAATCTACTTTTCCACTTACGAGGATTTCCCTGTCCTCGGAGTAATTTCTGGTATTCATCCTCAACTAAGTCTAGAACCTTAATATCGGTTTCTCGCTCTTCCCCTAATTTTTCGAGTTCATCTGCCATAATTCGCATTACCTGCACACCTTTTTGTCTTGAAAATTGAAAAAATCCTGGTGCTTTGAGAATACGGATGTCATTACAATTCACTTCATCAAGGACTTCTAGCGGAGAATGTAGCATTTCATGCTTATTCTTAGTTGCTTGTTTGACCCGTTTACCAACCATAGATTTGGCTTGAATTGGACTCGTCGATGCCAGTGTAGTTGAAAGCTCCGGTGCATCTTTCTCGGGTACAGTGACATGTTCATGATCGATAACTTCCTCAACATAAGGTGACTTATAATTTGAATTTTCGGGAATTAAGCAGTTACTTAAGCAAAATTCTTTGTCAAATTTAACTGACTTTAATTGCCAGTCAATGGAAGGATTATGACGCTCAAGCCATGGAAATCCCAGAATAACATCATGTTCGGGTCCTAGTGTGGTAACCAGGGCATCCACTTCCTCGAAATGATTGCTTAATTCAAAGGAACCAGAAACACGATGCGTTATTAGCTCCGAAATACATCCGTCAGCTAAATAGAGAGGGCGAGGACGTGTAAGGGGTGTTAAGGATAGTTTATTAGCAATTGCCCAAGCTTTTCTTACAAACATGAACTCGGTGCTACCAGTATCGAGAAGTATAGATACTGAGAAAGAAAATTTGCGCTGTACTGTAGAGTGAAAGATTCCAGATAATGATATAGAGTTTTTGCCAAATTTATTTAAGATTATAGGCTTTCCAATAGTTGAATCCTGATGTATACATTTTCTCTGTAAATCAACAAACTTTTGTACATTGATGCCCCGCACGCGACTTAATGCCGGGGCTCTCCATTTCCCTGACTCCAAGGAGCGTTCCTATCAATTTGATATTTATTAACATGCCCATTTTTCGTTTCAACTTCTCCCAGAACTCGACCACTCTTGTGGCCTAAATTATTTACAGGGCTACCAAGGCTATGTTGCTGTTCATATGGGGAATCTTAATTGTGGCCCCATTCGTTTACTTCTTGCATCCGTAAATGCGGAAAATTACTGGAATTAGCATTTCTAGTTCCATCTCGTCCTCTTGCATAGCCCGGCTGAGGATCTCTTCCACCTTGGCTCCGGCGACTAAATGGAGCAGAAGAATAGTTATTTTTATTATCACCACTGAATGCTCCTCGTTGACTACTCCGATTATAGTTAAAATTACCTTGTTGACCTCCACGGTTACCGCAACTCAATTCCGCTGATGCCAACTCACGATCGGCAGTATCATGGCACCTTCTGCTTTTTCTTGCAATTTCGGAAGTGCATTCCTTTGAATAGTGACCTCTTCCACCACATCGATTACACAAACCGTGATCTCTTCGATATTGCCATTCAGCCGGGGTCACAGTGACTCTAGTCAAGTGCATTTGATCTAAGTCCATGGGATCACTTGTTGGCATCATTTCGCTACTATGGGACTTGGAAAAATTGCCTCCACTTGGGTTGCCAAAGAAGCTGCTTTCGATATGGCGGTTTGACTCCTAATTTTTCCAAAATTGAGAAAAATCTCTATCCATGCATATACGTCATCTTCGGAAGGCAGGGGAATATGATTTTTTGCCGCCACTCGTAGAGGTTCGGAAACCTTACGCCTGAGATGATATACTCGCATGGAAGAACTGAGTTCTCCTTGATCTGCAAGTCTTTCAAATTCTGAAATAAATGATGAAAAGTCTTTCCATTTCCCAGTCATTCTCAGATCATTCAAATTTCCTCTGGCTATAGCGCGTATGTCAGCTGTAAGATATTTTTTGTCGAGTTCTCGGAAAAGTTCTGCAGAAGTAGACCATGGCCAGCCTGATGGGTCATCGGTACTTGAGAAAAATAAAGCAATTTTAGACTGCAGGCGAGTATAAGCATCGCCTTTGAGCCAATTGATTGCATCACAGATCTTCTTGAACTCAGAATCAAAGTTCCCTCCGCTAGTATTCCACTTAGAGATTAGTTTAAACTTCCAAGCATTGTAATCATTGTGCCTTTTTACTACGTCTTTCTGATCACCTGAGAAAGGGTCTATGGATGGTGGCTTCTCCAAGTAAATCATACTTGGCGGAAATGATTGTGCCGGGTGCTGTTGGATGACAGAAGCTTGGGGAACTGTGGGAGCTACGGAAGGGGGTTTCTGTTCTTTAATTGGAACCTCGGATAATTGACTTTTGAGCAACGAGATTTCATTTTTCTGTTTGTTGTACACTGATCTTAGTTTTTGAACCTCGTCGTTTCTCTCCTCATTCGTCCTTTGTAAGGTATGTAGAGTTTGCCTCTGGGCCACACAGTGTCCATTAATAAGTCCGAAAAGTTCATGGAAAATATCTTTCACTTCTGCCGGGGCATTAGCCAATATAGAAAGGTCGACTTTCTTTTCAAAATTGACGTCAATAAAAATTTCTTGTACTGCAGGGTACTTGGTTATCACCTCCACTAAAGCTCTCCAGGCCCTCTCATGTCTATCGTCACGAGTGTATGAAGGAGCGGATTCAATGTTGCTGTCTTCTCCCCAAGGATTATCCTTTTTTTTTTTTTTTTTTTTTTTTTTTTTAATTACTCAGTCCTATCTTGTCTCAGATTATGATATATATCTCGGTCTTTACTCGGTCTCGGTTTAGTGGCAAAATCTCTGAATCTCTGAGTCTACCATAAGGCTTATTTTAAATCGCTACGCGCTATAATTATTCCTGGTAGCCTAAAATTTGATATGAAGCGCGTGCGAAGAAAGGTGCAACTAACTATCACGGGCTGGCGTTGTATAATTACTCGGATGTTCAGAATATGTAATTGTAGTTGCACAAGGAACGAAACTAATCTACAAGCAGAGATCTAAATCTAAGTATCCTCACTTAGTTACGCCATAATTATCACGTGACTACACCCCAACTAGCTGCCCCTGTGACACTATCCACAGTTTGATGGTATGGAACGAGTGATGGACGGTATCTAGTTTGGATTTGTTCCATCAAGTATACATGTACATAAGCTGTTTAGGAATCACCAAGACAATTAATCTAATCAATTCAATTCATTCAACCCATCTTTTATTTCTCCAGAGTATATCACATATTCTCCCGATTCATATCATTATTATTCTATTCATAAAATCGAGCCCATATTCTTTAAGTCGCCTTACTCATCGAGCCCATACCGATTTTCCAACAGATCAATGTAGGTATACGTGGTCCTGCTTACGATGCCGCCCTGGAACTTGCCTTCAACTGTGGGGCTGATGTGGTACTAATGCAAGAACACGGGGTATTAATAGACCTAACTCGTAGAATAACCAAAACCTACCCAAGCTTCCAAGGCTTCTCTCCTCGTCCAGACTGGATAGTTCGGCTTCGAGTAATGACGTATGTCCGCGAGGGATAAGAATTATCTCCTTTCCAGCCGGCCGTACATTCACGGGATTTCTGCAAGTTCAAATCTCGCAAAGAAACAAACAAGTCATTGAATGTTGAAATGCCTACAACGCTCGAATCGAAGCAATTGGTTCCGAGGAGGGCCTTCAGCATCCAATGAGTACCACTGTAAATCTGGATGTTCTTGCAGGAGACTTTCAAATTCACCACTCAAACTGGGATCCGAAAGCTAAGAGGGACAGTGTGGAATGCGAATCTTGTGAACGTGGCTCACTGTGTGGCTCAAGGCGTGATTCAGAATGTAGCTCAAGACCTGGTTCAAGATGTAGTTCAATGTATCTCTAGAACATGGATAAGACAAGAAGCTACTGAACATCAATGTCCCTCGAGTTCCTTGAATACGTCTTTCTGCTCTAATATTCCCACTCATATTTGCATGTACCATTCCATTCCTACTTCTCTAACTCCCTTAACTCCATGATCTATGTGTAAGAGCATACTACTACTACAAGAAGTAATGAGGGAAGCGCTAGCGACTGCAATCAGTGAGGTAGTCGGCCTTGGCTCGATTAGCAAGCTGCTGTGAACTGAAATTATAAAATATGTTGTAGCATGGCTCATTTTATGACTCAAATTACACAGTATCATGTCAGTCTGGGGTAATCTATGACAGCACTCACGTTGTTCCGGACATGAAATAGGTTGAGAGCAGCACTGGTGTCATGTGTAGGAGTTCCCTGTTGGTTCAAGAGTCTGGGTCCCCTCGATACTGTCAAAGAGAGTAAAGATTTGCCATAATTTACCCCAGACTGACATGATGCTGTGTAATTTGAGTCATAAAATGAGCCATGCTACAACATATTTTATAATTTCAGTTCACAGCAGCTTGCTAATCGAGCCAAGGCCGACTACCTCACTGATTGCAGTCGCTAGCGCTTCCCTCATTACTTCTTGTAGTAGTAGTATGCTCTTACACATAGATCATGGAGTTAAGGGAGTTAGAGAAGTAGGAATGGAATGGTACATGCAAATATGAGTGGGAATATTAGAGCAGAAAGACGTATTCAAGGAACTCGAGGGACATTGATGTTCAGTAGCTTCTTGTCTTATCCATGTTCTAGAGATACATTGAACTACATCTTGAACCACGCTCACAAGTGCTTCTTGCGAAATTCGACAAGACCTGGAAGTCGGCTCTGATCATAGGACAATCCTCTGTCAAGTATTTGATTGGGAAGTCTAGAAACCTATACCAAGTAAGCTCCAATTTGCTGCCTATTACTGGAAAATAATTCAAGATTTCGTGACAAGTTGACTTGCAACACCTCACTTCCATATCATTGATGAGGCTGCAACCATCGTCAGATTCATCTCAGGAGCTCTTGTTGGAACAGAAGTCATGTGCACATTAATAAGCAGAATATGTATTCACCAATTGTAATAGTGGTGCAACTTACGTAATATTCCCTTGGCATTCTTACATGAAACCAAAGGGTTAGAACAGACAGATAGAATGAATATAGATGTGAGTATTACTATATCATTTTATTGAATCTATTTTATTGCCTTTAATTTACGCACGAATACCATAGTATACCAACAGCTCTCCTCACTTCATGTCCAACGTCATACCGCCCAACCGCTCCTCTAATGTGCCTTGGAAAGTAATTGGAGAGACTTGTCGCACGTCGTCTTTCATTTCTAGCGCTGAGACATCGGATTCTTTCCCGGGATCAGTGTAGTGTATCACGGCGTACAATATGCACAAGTGAAAGAACAGCTTGTATGGCAATAATTCAGTCTGTGGAGCAGATACTAATCTGGAGAAGAACAGTCAAGATGAAAATCCAAGTACAAAAAGCCCCGAGGCTATTCATATGCAGGCGAGTTCCCGCTAAATTGCTGCGCACGTGCTCCTTCCTGCATTAGCCATCAATCTCACATCCTCCATCCACGTGACTGTATATCATGACGGGGTAGGATGCCGTGTCGTGACACCAGTGAGGGGGTCAGAATAGGGAGAGGGGATTAAGAGCGAGCCAAGACTTATGTCTCTCCTGGCGCATAATCCGTATTCTCTCCTTGCCAGGGCGAACAAATACTCTGTTAGCTCGAAAAGACTGGGCTGGGCATCCGGGAGATGAGGCGGCATGTGGGCCTGCATAGTTCGGATACTTGGTGGGCGTCACACACGGTCCGTTATAGAAGTCTGACGCGCAATCTCCGCAACAAGCTGTACAGGTCCAGGCGTTAATTTTGTGCAACTAGCAGCAGCAGCGTGGGCAGAAATGTAGGCGTGTGCAATTGTCAGCCGGACGAGTTTTAGCGGACCGAGCAAGTAAGCGAACGCTGGAAGGAGCTTATCTGCAGCTGACTTTGCAACTACTAGTCTGAGAGTCTCTTCTGTTATGACTAGGTTGTGAGCAGATATAGAATGGTGTATAAGCTAGGGATAACAGCGAATGAGCAGAAAGAGATAATTGAACACTGAGAATGTGAGACAAGTTGAAAGATGATTGCTCAAAGATACTCTAGGTCCTGTCAATAGGACCGATACATATGTACATAATCTACACCCATAATAAAGCCCATTGTCACGTAGCCGGAGTAACATATTCTGCACTGCATTGTACTAGTACCACTCAGCTCTTAGCGCCGATCGTATTAAGTCGTGCTGGGCCTATTTAATTCCTGTATTGCATACTAGCACTTGTACTTCGGACATGGGTGCACTCATACTAACTGTGACAGTTACATGTCAGGCTCGTTGGCTAGTTCGGAGATCAAGGGTCGGAACAGGATGTGATCGGAACGGCACGAGGGCGAGACAAGACGGAGTCGGAACGGGAAAGAGTCGGGGTACAAGGTAAAGCTTATAATAATCGGATCAATCTAAAGTCTAGAATAATTACAAGACAAAAAGCTACAGAACAAATCCAGTCCTAGACCTTCCTTAAGTACTCAAGAGCGGCTACTACAATCAGGGGTATGGCAGTCTACAGCTATAACACAGCAACTGATTGCTTATGTTGATTAGTAACTGTTGCTATCATATCATTGTAACCATTGCAACGCATTGACTATGTTACTAGGGAAGTTCCTGACTTGGTTGACCAGACTAAGCGCAGCATCTCAGCATTAGCCCATGGCACAATGGTAGTAACAAGTAGGCCGTTTTCCTCGTGGGGAAGCCGGTCTGTGACATTACCCCCTCCTTAAACGTGGCGAGTACCTACGAGCATTTTTCATGGTGTCATTCATTGACTGGGTTTTAAGATCGTGAGGCTTGGGCTCAGGAGGATTCAGCTCGTGAAATTCTTTTATGAGGTCTTGGAAACTTCCAGATTCCTCGGCGGGTATATTCCAATCATCTTCTGAACCGTATCCTTTCCATCGTACTCTATAGTTAAGGTTTCCATTTATCCACTGAGATCCCATTATCCTTTCTATTTCATATTCTGGATCATCGCCCTCAAGCTGAATTAGCGGAGGTGGTCCTGATGACTGACCTGGAAGCGGGTTAGAGGCAACAGGCGAAAGTAGTAAGACGTGAAAAACTGGATGGACCTTGAACGATTTAGGTAAATCGAGTCGGAATGCGTATTTTCCGATCGCCTCTATAATTGTAAATGGCCCACCGCTTTTGAAGTCTAGCTTTTTCGAAGGTCGAAGAGATTTAATATTTCTAAGATTAAGCCAAACTTTATCACCAACTTGAAAATTTCGAGCTCCGCTTCGATTTTTATTTGCATTATATTCGTATTCAGCAGAGTGGAATTGGATGTTTTCGACTAAAAACTTTTCGATTTTACGGAATGTCTTAGCTAGATTCTCAGCGTCATGCCTTTCGAAACGAACCGAAGCAGGAGCTGCTGGTGAATCAATTAATACTTGTATTTCAGAACCAGAACGAGGGTGTTGTCCATAGACTGCAAAAAAAGGCGAAACTCCAGTTACTTGTGTATCGTGGTTGTTGAGGGCAAATTCAGCTGAAGGTAGATATCGGACCCAATCATCTTGCGAAAAGTTTACATAGGCTCGAAGGTACTGTTCAATTCGTGCATTCATCCGTTCTGTTTGCCCATCTGTCTGGGGATGAAATGCGGTCGATGGACTGTGTTTAATTTGCAATATCTTACTAAGCCATTTCCAGAATTCTGCTGTGAACTGAGTTCCGCGGTCGGAGATTATGCTGTCAGGTAATCCGTGAATGCGAAAAATTTCTCGGTAAAACATGTATGCAGTGTTTCGTGTGGTTATATTGTTGCATGGGATTAGGTGCACCTGCTTAGTCATACGATCGACTACCATGAATATTGCACTGTACATTTCATTGGAATCACAAGCCATACTTGCAGGTAAATTGACAATAAAATCCATCGCAACATGTCGCCATCTCTTATCAGCTGTCGGAAGAGGACGCAAAAGTCCCTGCGAGCATTCTCTAGAGGGCTTCGAACGAGAACAGGTATGGCAGTTACGAACATATTGTTTTTCTTGTCGCAACATTCCATGCCAGAAAAGATTTCTTGCTAACGACGCATAGGTGGCAGCTGCTCCTTGGTGGCCAGCTGTCGGTAGGTCGTGGTATGACTGAATTATATCTGGCCCAAGCGACTTATCCCCCTCGTATTGTGGAACAACAATTTTATCGCGATAAAACAAAATTCCGTCTTTCCAGGAACACTCAGCCAAAGTGAAGTTGCTAACTCGGGGTGCCTGCTGTTTTTCCAGTGCCTGTATTACTATCCTTAAAGATTTATCTTCTAATGCTTTTCCACGGATTCTTTCTATAATTGGCAAATCTAAATTTTCTTCTTCATAAATGTCTGCAGTTTCAGGGTTAATATAATTATCTACTACGGGCGCTACAATTTCATTGCTATCAAATTCATTCATCATAACTTCAGAGCTATTCATCCCAGGTGAAAGATTGTGTGGCTTCAAGACTCGTTGTTCCAAGAATTTCTTCAATGAAGGATCGGAGTTACCAACTGGGCGAGAAAGAGCGTCAGCCGGGGTATTTTGGGAACCCGGTCGATAACAAATGCGAAAGTTAAATCGAGACAAAAATTCACTCCAGCGAGCCTGTCTTCGGCTCAATAATCGTGATTTCATGAAATATTCCAGAGCCATGTGATCTATGACTACATCAATTCCTCACTATCTATGAGAAAATATTGGGAATTAAAAAGGTTGAATTTATCGAAATTTGTATGTCTCTTTCATATAGAAGCTAGAAGTCCTCTATAGTCGTAGACTCAGATAGGACTATAATAAAAATCTAAAATCTATGACTACATCAATAGAGTCAGATGTTCCTTCTAATTCAGGACGCCACTCTTCAAATGCTTGTACAATCGCTAGGAGTTCCTTGTCATATATTTCATAATTCGACTCTGCTGGACTCATTTTCTTTGAGAAGAAGGCAACAGGTCTCCACTGTTCGGATTCATCTGGTTGTAGAAGTACACCCCCAGTACCACGGTCTGAAGCATCCGTTTCCAAACGAGCTGGTTTGTCCCAGTCAAAATGTCGAAGGACGACATTTTCACGGAATTTTCTTTTGATTTCCAAAAATGATTTTTCTTGCTCGGGCCCCCAGCTAAATGTCAGGTCTTTCTTCATCATGTCAGTAAGTGGCATTACTACTCTTCCAAAATTACTGATAAATCTTCGATAGAAATTTGCGAGGCCTATAAACCGGAAAATATCTTTTGTACACTCAGGTCTGTGCCATTTCTCAATAGCCTCTAATTTCGATGGATCCATTTCAATGCCGTCAGTTGATATAACCAGTCCCAGAAACTTAATTCTCTGTACATGGAATTCACATTTTTTAATATCTATCTGCAGACCTGCCACAAGTAGCCTGTGAAGCACCTTCTTGATATGGTCTTGATGTTCTTTCAGTGAATTTCTGTAGATGAGTATGTCATCTATATATGCCGTACAAAATTCATCTAAGTAACCTTTAAGGGCGTCATTGATATAATTCTGGAACGAGCTAGGGGCATTTGCGAGACCAAATGGCAT